AAAAGTTGGTAAGACTAGAAATTTTAATTATTAATTGCAAAATTATTGATAAAATAAAAAATAAAAAAATTATATTACACAAAAAGAAAATTAAAAAATAAACAAAAATAATAAAAACAGAGAAAACAATAAAATTGGAGAGTTGGTAAGATTAGAGATTTCACTTGTTAACTGCAAAATAATTGATAAAAAAATAAGAAATTATAAAACTGGTAGAAGTTGGTAGAACTGGAATTTTTAGTGTTAATTGCAAAATTATTGGTAAAATTAAATAAAATAAAAATTTAAAAAATAAAATAAGTGAAAATAAATAAGACATTTATTCCGTATTAAAGGTGAACGAACATGCTATCCGGCCTATGCATTGATTTAACTAAAAAAAAATTCCTGATGTCCGTGGATCAAAAATAAAAATAAGAAAATTTAGATTTTTTAGGATTGCGTGGTAACCGTAGCATAGAAAAATTTTTTGCTAAAATCTAGATACAATTTTTAGATGAATTACAGCCTTTCGAAAAATTTAGGAAAAATTTTCTTCCTTTAATTTTTTGTAGTAGTGTAGTTTTTATTTGAATTTAGGGGAAAACAATTTTCTCTTGGTACAATGGGGTGATCACATCGATGGATCCTTTCGTGGGTCGAATAGACTTAATACATCATTTAGACCATAGTGAACGTCGATACGGAAGAGGTTCTGTAAATTTAACATCAATTCGAGATTCAGATGGTGGTTGGTACGAGTGTCAGGTTTTATTTCCAAACAGGACCCCCAGTTCTCGGAACAATGGTACTTGGTTCCACCTTACAGTCAATGGTCGGTTTTGCATTCTTCGTAAAAAGTGTCACAATTAGTTTTTGTAGGTGGAAATTTATTAGCCATCCCTCCAATTAATCAAACAACTCTGGAAGGTGACGAAGCCAAATTCGTGTGTTTGACAAAAGATCCCGAATTGAAGGTTTTTTGGTACAAAGATGGGATTCCACTGAGGGAGTATCAAGATTTAATGAAACGGTCCTATGTTACGAAAGAAAATACTCTCGTTATTAGTCCGACTGACATGGGGGATTTAGGTGAATACGAATGCGAAGTAAGAGATGTAGATGGTGAAAAGCAAACGGCAAAAGCATTTCTCAACGTACAATGTAGGAGTCAAAAGATAAAAAAAAATTGTTCATTGTTAAATTCCAGATAAAGCAAAAGTTATTTTTGCCCCCCCTGAAATCCACTTACCTTATGGTCGTCCTGCGTTAATAGACTGCCATTTCAGAGCAAATCCACCCTTGACTAACCTTCGTTGGGAAAAAGATGGGTTTCTTTTCGACCCATATAACATACAGGGTGTTTTTTACAGAAGAAATGGTAGTTTGTATTTTACCAAAGTTGATGAAACGCACAGTGGGCGATATACCTGTACTCCTTTTAATGATCTAGGCACCCAAGGCCCATCACCCCCAATTCTTGTAACCGTCCAGCGCCCCCCTATTTTTGTAACAACCCCTCATAATTTATATTTGAGGAAACTGGGGGAAACTATTGAAATGCCTTGTGATGCCAGAGATGGTGAAAATGGGCACAAACCCATAATAGTTTGGTATAAAGTAACTCAAGTTGATGAGTTGTTTCCAATAAATTAATCTATTTCTTGAAGAAAGATGGTACTTCTCTTCCTGTGGGTCGATATTCAATAAGGGATGGGAATTTGACGATAATTAATATCCAGGAAGAGGATAGAGGCTTGTATCAGTGCTCTGCGACCAATAAAGCGGCTACGATTACCGCAGAAACTGAACTCCTTGTAGAAAATATTCCCTCAAATGCCCCGACAAATTTAACAGCGATTTCATCGAGTTCTTCGGTGCATCTAACTTGGGTTCCGGGAAGGCAAAAATCGAATGTTGAATATAGTGTTTGGTACAAGGCCGTGGAAGGGTCAGAATGGAAAACACATCAAGTTTTGTCATCGAGAACTTTGGAGGCGACCATTACTGGTCTAAATCCTGGCAAGTTTTAAAATTTGTTTGAAAATTTAATGATTTTATAACTCATTGTTTGTGATTTTTGTAAATTTGAGATATGTTATAAAACGTGTACGTATTTCACCTTTTTTTGTTGAAAAAACAGGAATGTACAAAATTAAGTACCTTGTAATAATTTAATTTTTGTCTAAAGAGCAAATCAACATATTGAAACGATTTTTTTTAAATAATAGATATAAGTAGGTACACTACGGACGTGATAATACATGTATTCTAAAAATTTGTTATTAACAAATAATTTAATAATATATTGTTTAAACGAAAAAATAACCAATTACCCAGGTTTCTAAATTCTCAAAAAAATTATGTAAAAACTCTCACATTTTTACTATGTCTTCACTAAGTTTCAAGACGGACGTTTTAAAAATGGCTGAAAAAAATAGTAAAAAAAAAATTCTTCGGTTGAGTAAATATTTCACATATTTACGTTTGGCTATACAGGGTGCGTCAAAATTCCCGGATTAACGTGATATAAGGTAAGATACCAAGGGCCCATTTCATAATAAATTACAATCTAATATTATTAGACTTGTAGCTTGTAACTTTTAGAATTTGGTTTCATAAAAAGAAAATACAGAAGTACAAATTACAACTTGTAAAATTGAAAATACAAATATATTTTAACATATTATGTACAAGTATTTCTGTTCCATAATTTTTAGGAAATAATGACATAGATTTACTTAAATTTTACAAGTACTATTGTACAAGTCGCTACATGCCTGTAGTTGAAAGTACTAATTTTTTTAAAGACAATTTTATTGTGTAAAGTGATTCTCAACTTTTCTTTTGTCGCGGCACATTTTTAACGATTTAAAAATTTGGCGGCACACAAAGAAAAAGGTAAGTTTAAAAGTTGTTTATTTACCAATAATACACTGTGTAAAATAGTTTATTATAATAATCTTCAATGTAAAATAAAATAAAACAACAAGGGATTAATTACAAGTTGAAAATAAGAATACTTTTAATGAGAAATTTGAGCTTGCTGTTTTTTCATAATTTCATTTATATTTGGTCGTAAAAATGACAATGCTACTCTCATATCGTCTTCTACAATTAACAATTTTTCGTTTTTATGTTGGTTAACACAGAAAATCTGAATTCACACAAATAAGATGTAGAAAATTGTAATAATATTTTTAAAGCTTTTTTTGGCTGTCATAGGATAATCACATCTAATGTTAATCCAAAATTAATTAATTGATGCTTTAGAATATTTTAAAATTAAATCTCTAGAAAGCGAAATTGGTTCTTCCTCTTCATTCAAAATTAATTCAAATACAGAAGTAATCGATTTCGAATAGAATAGAACGTTGATTGACAACACAACAAAATCTGACTGAAAGTTGGTCATTTTGTGTCCAATTTTTTAAGACTTGTAATTTTTGCTAGTAAAATTCTACTAATTTAATTAATATCACTCTTGATTTTATGAAACAGAAATTATTAGTGCCTGTAACTTGTAGCTTGTACATTTGCATATTTTTTGTAATAATATTAATGATATTATGAAACGGGCCTCAGGAACATGAAAAAAATGTTTAAAAAATCTGTCAAAAACATTTATTTTTAGAAAATTGACATTTTTTATGTCTACTTAATGATATTGATGATCTTGTATATGTTCTTTTTTATAATTATTTAATAAAGGTACGGTAATTTTGCCAATAAAAGCCACAAATAACATTAGACTGTGTTACAATTTAGGATACAGCTTCTTTGTTCCCTTTTCTAATAGCCTGTAGAAAAAAACATGGAAAATTATTTTTCCAACAGAAACAAATAGAGTCAAATTGCAAAATTTAAACTCTCATAACTTCGAAATTTTTATAGATAGATTTTTTTACATTATTTCCATGCTCCTGATATCGTCACGTTGGTCCGGGACTTTTGACACACATAATCGACAAGCTGAAAGACTTTGCGATTTTTTAAATGATCATTTTAGTCGAGCGAAGCTCATAAAAGGTACGCGAAATCTACATACTTTTATTTTAGTATCAGAAAATAGAATAAAAAAATATAGAGAGTACTCTTCCTCAACCGAAGAATTTGTATTTATTATTGATATTTTTTGAAAAATAAATTGAAAAGTGAAAAGTTATTGGAAATTATGTGTTTTCTATACAACAGTTCATTAGTGATAGTAATTGGTAATTTTGCTATTTAATTTCCAAAGAAATGCTACTTTTAGACGATCTTAAGGGATCATGCACTATGCAGCGCTCTCAAACAATTTTTTTCAAGCGATTTTTAAAACGTCCGTCTTGAATCTTATGTGAAGACATAGTAAAAATGTGAGTTTTTACATATATTTTTTGAGAATTTAAAAAACCTGTGTAATTATTTATTTTGTCGTTTAAACAATATATTTTTAAATTAATTGTTAATAACAAATTTTTAGAATACATGTATTATCACGTCCGTAATGTACCTATTTATATCTATTATTTAACAATAAAATCGTTTCAATATGTTGATTTGTTCTTTAGATAAAAATTCTTTTTGCTCCGAGGTACTTAATTTTGTGCATTCCTGTTTTTCCAACAAAAATTTTGGAATTACTCTATTCTAAAATTGTTGCTATAGGTAGAGAATACGAGTTCATGGTGTTATGTAAAGACGACAATGGCGATGGCCTCTTCAGTAAATCAATTCGAGTTTGGACCAAAGGCTTGGATGGAGAAACTGACAAATTTCGAGGTAACTCTTTTCCTCCAGTGGGCTACCCGAGGAACATTTCAAGTTATCAAACAGAAAACGGTTTTGTGGTAACATGGGAGCCTCCAGAATACGGCAGGGAAAATCTCAAATTTTATATTGTGAGATGGTTTCAAGGGCCTGAGGATTATCTCTTTGGCTCTGCAGAAACAACAAATACATCATACTTGTGTAAAATATTGCTATTTCGTTTAATACCAATAGTTATTAAAATGTTCCAGTAACAAGTTTGTCCGAAGGTGTCGAATATAACATTCAAGTTGTCGCTGTTTCCCTGGATGAGCAACAATCAGTCAGTGAAAGAATTACACTGCTTGTACCCGGGTATAAGAAAATTCGGGCTGTTTCGACTGGGATTATTACTGGTTTTGCTTTCCTAGTTGTGGCATTTGTTGGAGTCTATTATGCTCGGAAAAAATGGTGTAGTTCCTATCCAAAAAATGTAAAAGGAAGTAAATAATGATTGTTCTGTTCATTGCAATGTTATAATTTCAGTAAAAACTAAAAAAATGCGCCAAAAGTATTATAATTATTATTGGAACATGGAAATTATTTAATTATTAAACGAAACAATTAAAATGTAAAAACAAATATTATTTTTATCCCTCAAAGTTGTGTTCTTGAGAAAGTAGGTATAGCTTCTATATTATTTTCAATGTTTTTGTTTTTTAGAATAATAAAGGTTTTGTTTTTAATTTTCAATACTTTATTTACTAATTAATTTAATTTCGATTATTAATTTTTAAGCAATTGCAGACCTAAAATATCCTGAGATGCTTCCAATTTTGACTTAAAAATAAATCGGGTACAGCCTAAAATTACGAACCTTTTTGCCACAAGTATGTAATTTTTTGTCAGGGTCTCTTTTGTTTTGTTAGTAACTACAGAGTGTCCCAGCGAGTTGGTAAACCTCCATTATTGATCTTTTAATGTTAACTTTTTTAAAGAAATTGATAGCTTCTAATCTAACATATCGCCTAAAATTATTTTCAATTATACCGCGTGTTCCAAAAATGTTAAAGAGTTTATCAACTAATTTCAGTAGATAAAGTAGTCTTTTTTCGTCTAGTGAAATAAAGTATTTTTTATCTACTGTTTATATTTAAGAAATTTTTTGGTAGGTGAGTACAAAATAAAACAAAATATTATACACGACTATAAAAATTGTTTATCCACAATCACTCTATAAAGAGACTTTATTCCACACTTTAGATGCGTATAAACTACCACTTTATCCACTAGTGGAATAAAGTAACTTTATTCTACTGTTAGTAACCAGCGCACCCCTTAACAGCTTACTACGTTTAACTGAAAGCACATTTGGCGTGACGTTTAAATGTCAGTTAAATGTCAATTTTTAATTAAGTTTGGAATAATTTGGGCCTGTGATTGTGGATAAAACGTTATATTGCAGTCGTGTGTTAGTCTTAGTTAACACACTCTTACAATAAATAACTATTATCTACTCGTGAAAAAAGTCCATTCGTGACTTCGTAGAAAAACAATTTTTTTATCGTCTTGTATAATAAATAACTATTTACTATTGTAAAGAAAAAAATTCAAGCCATAAGGCTATAACTTTTTTTTAGTGTGTTGCACTAAAGATAAAAAATAAAGAGGTTTTTTAGTTCGGTAACCCAAAATATTTAAATGGAACACCTGTTCGTTGTTTTTGCATCTAAGAGATTATTAAATTGTCTTCCCAAAAATATTACTTTTAAGTGTCTACAATTAACAACTAAAAAGAGAATAATTTATGTTTTAACAAACATTTTTATTTTTTTATCCTTAAAAATGCCATATATTAAAAAAACCCTTTAAGTTTGCAGATACTTTCTTCTTTGCAGTAGTAGAAAAATTTTCTTTTCTTTCAGCTGTTTTAGTTTTTGTGTAATGATTTTTTAAAAAGAGGTTGTTTTCGTCAAAAGACCCATCTTATTTCAAAAACTAAATAAAAGTTTTTTATTGAACAATCCATGTTTGTGAGAGATTTTTGGTTATAAAGGAAAAAATAGGTCCTGTTCTCTCAAAGTTTATTCTTATCCTTGCTACACGTTTTGGCTATTTTTAGATAGCCATCTTCAGGCAATATTGTTTAATTTATTTCCGACCTCGCCCAATTCTTCTACTTCATTAAAAATAAATAAAAAGTAGCAAGTATAATAAACTTTGAGAGAACAGGACCTATTTTTCCCTTTATTACAACAACAAAAGTTGTAATGTCAAAAAACTTAGGGTGTTTCATTGAAAAAAATGCAAGTTTGTATTCTAATTTGTTTTGGAACACGCTGAATAGTTAAAATAATAAATAAAATAATTTTAGACGATGCTCTAGATTACTATATCTATCAAGTTCCGATATTTTTTTATTTTTAACATTAAATAAAATAATGACTTTACTAACTCGCTAGTACAAAATTCTGATATAAAATTATTATACATTAAAATGAGCTCAGATTCATAAATTGTTTATTATCACATTCTTATTGGCACAGTCGGTAGGATATTGTTGTGAGGAGTGAAATAAAATAATTCGTAGGTATGAGATCTGGCAACATTATTATTGTATTTTAATCAAATGTGATGCTTTATACAGCGTAGTTACATAGTAACAACTGTTTTATACTACTTAACACTTATAACTAAAAAATGCTACTGCTAAGTCCAGTGTGCCGTGAAATGATATAATTTTGTAATTAATGTACAGTCAGAGAAATTACTGGGATCGAATTTATTTTTTCTTAGAAAAAATCGAGTGCCTAATAGACATGCAAATTGTATTTAAAAATGTGTTTCCGTCCTTAATTAAAAATTATAGTATGACAATAGGAAATAAAGGCAAGTAAATAATTGAGGCAATGTATTCGCCTCTTACAATCTCAAGTAATAAAATTGTTAGAATTTCGTGAATGTTTTAACAGACCATTCGAATCATTCATTCCTAAAAGTTTGCACTAAATATAACTTGTACTTATTTCAGACCTTAATCATAACAAAGTGAAATTAAACTAATATCACTATACAAAATTTGTAATAAATCATAACGAATTGAAAACAATTTCACCCAGGAATTCCTTGTTCCCAGAGTGCTAGTACAACATTCAAAATTATAGATGAAAATGCAGGTTAAGTCCTGCTTTGCTCCTAGAGCGAAGGTACGTTATACAAGTTTTATCCTAAACACCTAGTATTACAATGTCGCAACAGCCTCTCGTGTAGAATGTTGGTCGCGGCCGAGGCCGCGCTAAAGCGTTAGAATTATTGGTTGGCGTCGATCATCAAAAGGTGGTCAGGTGGGGGCAGCACCGAACCGACGACGCCTATTTACACAAAATGACCTATTCATTGAGCTTTCTGATTATGTACGAGGTATCAATTGAAGTGTACCTTTAAAAAAAATAACTTTGGGGTCTGGATTTGGTTCTCATCGTGTGTGTTAATATTATTTAGAACATGTTTCATTAAATTTAGTGCTTTTTGACGTCGAGATCACATCAAGAAATTCACGCACACTAAATGTCAACAGGCACTCTCCAATTCGTGACTTCGTCTTCTCTTCGCTTGTCGTTTCCTAAACTCGTTGAATTCTTCTTTCATCGCTTGGACTCTGGCATCGATGTTGTCGTAGCGACTCCTCAACGTCCCATACCCCTTCCTGGTACCTGTCTCCAAGTCGACATCTCTGGAGCCCGTGGGGGTCGACGGTGTCGGAGTTGGCGTTGAAGGATCAAATTCGTAATGACCGTCGACGCTTCCAACATCCACGGCTTTGTGTAATTGGTCCGAGGTCGACGGTGACGACGAGGCCAACTCCATCCAATGTCCAACGAGGGGTGGTGGAGGCGGCAAAGCTGAAGGAGGCGGCGGTGGCGGCCTATACGGCGGAGACCTCCACTCGGTAAAAGTGCTACCGCTTTGAGAACTATGATTCTGTTGAGAGGAAGTATTCTTGCTACCAAACCCACTCGAACTGGACCTGCTCTCCGGAGAGCGGTCTAAATGGTCAGGTGACCCTAACTCAGGAGCACTTCGAGCGATTCTAGCATGGCGGGGCAAGAGTCTCGCTCGTGGCCTCGGAGGAATTCTGCTACGTTGTGTGGGGCTTTCTCTGATCGGGTGAACCGGGATAAAACCTTGAGACTCTTCATGGATGGCACGCAGAGGGGGCAACTCCTGCGAATAGCGCTCGTGGACCGAGCGCAGTTGCATAAATCCGGGCGGAGTGGGATAAGAGCGCTCCCCCGAACTCGTGTAACGGACAGAACTCAAATCGCTGAAATACAGGGGACTCCAAGGAGTCAGCAACAAAGCGCTCGATGTTGCCGGAGAACTGGATTGGAAATTCGGTGTTACTGGAGTGTAAATCGTCGGGATCGGTTTCAAGGGAACACGCTGTCCGAAATTGGTGAAAAAACCACCGATTCCTCGAGCACTTTGGCCCGAAGCGTCTGATCTCAGACTCAACTGACTGGGATAGCCGACTAATGGCCTGCGCCAAGACGCACGATTACGCACCCCTTTTCGCGGCAGGAAGCCCCCATCGTCACTGCTACTCGCGTTTGAAGGACTATCAGTTCGTAAACTCAGTATGGAATCCACCAGAACGAAACGACCGTCTGCTGCTCGAGATATTCGACCCAGGGATTTTGATGGAGAGCCAGAGTGGAGATAATCGGGATGCCAACTTAAGCTGCTGCCGGTTCGACATCGGTCTCGAGGCCATATCCAATTCACGATGAAACCGATGAGCCTCAAACCTGATATTCGGCCTTTTCTAAGTCTGTCACAATATAAGCGGTTTTAGAAAAACGGGCTACTTCACACCGCACAAGTTTTTGCCACCGCACTCCAGCAACATACAATTTTTTTTTACTTATATACTAGTAAAAGATGGGGACAAAGAGTAACCTGAGATTTCCCAGGTCAGAATAAAGCGGTTTAACCCATCTTACCTCTATTTAAAAGTTAGAGGACGCCTACGAAATTATAATTTTTTTGATTAAGATTAATCCAATTACAAGAACAGAATAAATGAAACAAAATGTTTCAATCGATTAGTTTCGTTCCCTATCCTATAATCAGGATCGCTATAAAAAGAGAGGACAATTACAAAAATTATTTATTTCTGGAATGGTACTTAATTTGAAAAGATTATTGTTTAAAATGTTATTTAACAAGCACGCTTGTTCCTCCAGAAAAGATGTTGAGAACCTATACTCGTTTTCATATTACTGTGCATCGAAGTAGCCGTTGAAAGGGATCATTTTAGGGTGGCAATCATGCGAAAATTCAAACAATTCTAACCTCAATCTTCCCTAAAAATTATTTTTTCAAATAAATGTGTACCCCAGGTAGCAAAAAATAATTAAAATTAACAACGTAATTAACAAACTTAAGGATATTTGTCATTACTGATGTGATTAAATTTATTCTCAATGACATTAATGACATTTTTTTGTGTAAATTGGCCTTTAAATTAAAGATGCATTTAGACTTCTACAACCTACTTGACGCACCGCACATTAAAATAAAAAAAGAGTATAAATGTTATCTTCCATAATCTTTATTTACTGTTTGTAATTGACCTCTAGTAATCCTGATGATGTTCAATAGGAAACGAAACTATTGGATTAAAACATTTTGTTTTATTTATCCTCCCTGTAACTGGATTAATCCACATCATAATCAACTCAAGAAAGTAATAACTTTTCTACGAGTATAATTTTTGTTTAAATTATTAATTAATTACACTTTTCTTAACTAACACAAACATACATAAAGATACCTACTAAAACCTAAAATAATATATTAAAGAACGCGTTTCATAAGGCAATTTTTGTGGAACGAGTTCAGGTTGACTTATGAAACAAGTTTTTTTTTATGCTATTTTTTCTATTTTGCGCGCCTTACGTACTTTTTTAACATAAAAGTCAATTTTTCAAAATTTGCTCTAATAATTGTGGTTGGTAATGAATGTCACAAAGTTTGATTTTCGAAGTGTCAAGTCGCAAGTATTTTTCAAAATGTTGTTCAATTAACAATGAATACTGCAAATATTTCATGCACACCACCTGATAAAAGAGAAATCGCTCAAAAAGCCACTGAAAATCACCATTACCAACCTCTAGAAAGTAAATTGTACTAGTTAGTCTATTTCAGCACCCAAATTGGTGAGAAATAGCTCTTAAAGCATCGGTTCTAGTATCGAAATAAGCTTTAGTTCAGACGCAAAACAGAAAAAAGAATCTTTAATTCAATTTTAAGAACAATAATAAACCAAGGCCAATATACAAATTTTATAAGATAAGAAAATTGTTTAAAAATAATGGCCCTTTCGAATAAAAAAAGAATTACGCCACTCGGATATCGTTTAACTTAAAATGTGTCAAGTTTTTAATAAATAAGTACTTTACAATAAAAATAAAATAAAAAAACAGCTTAAAAATTTGATTTTGATGTCAAATTGGCTGTATCAAATTTAATCCATTAAAAAGTTATTAAAAAAAATGAAAATAATTTTTAAACTTTGGTGCCCTCTAATTTTTGAACTGCGCAACTTGGATGAAATCGCTTTATCTTGACCTGGGGAATAATCTCAGGTTAATTTTTTCGTTTATTTTTTCGTGTTATATCACTGTTTATAGAATTATTCTCCAACTTTGGTAGCATGTTCCTGGCTGTGTGGTCCAAAAACAAGCGCGTCCAGTTAAAAAATTAACAATGAACCCCATGCTCTCATAATCAAACAAGTCGTAATCAATTAAAGTTGATCAAATCCAAGCAAATGCGGACTCATGCTGTGAATCGTGTGGAAGGGTGTTTAGGAGGTGAATTTGCGTGTGATAATAATGAATTAGAATAGATGATTGTGATGTGAATAGGGCGAGGTAAGTAGAGGGTGCACAGTTAACATAAAGAAAACAATACATGTGACAGTGCGTAATGTTTTTTAGCCGCGAATTTCACCTTTTTTCCTCCTGCGCAGATCCAGATGGCGGCAAATAACACACGTTTGGGATCAGAAACTAGGTAATGCAGAAATACGCGTTTAGTTATTAAGAGATTTAAAAGACTGATTTTGCAGTGTTAAATTTGGTAAAGTTTGAAATAAATCGAGCACGGATTAGAATGTGTGTCGATTCATTTCATCAACGGTATAACTTAACGCGAAACATAGCGTGTTTTCAAAGTCTATAGATCTAATGCACCTACACAGAAAAGACCAACCCTATGGAGAGGTCCACATTCCAGGAACAAATGAAGCACATTTAAGTCCAAGTTTATGGCAAATCTTTGAACTCACCATCTACTTGAACTCTACAGGAATCTAGTTCAGATTCCGCCATGAAATGCGATCTTGTTAAATTCATATTTTAACAGTTTTTTGATATAGAGATCGCATGGTATAGCGGAACCTTCAAGCCTGACGCTTACGGTTCGTGTCAACGCTTGTCCCGGGAATTATAAATACGCTCTCGTAATCACGGTACGACTCGGATTCAACCGTCCTACAAGAGGAGATAAATCACCTTATACCCAAGTCTTAACAAGTAGAGAACCATCTTTGTCGCAACAACACAAAAATAAACAAAAAAATCCAGTGTGAACATCACACGACTTTCCTTATCCTACTTATGGGGAAAACATCCTAACGACAATAATTTAGTGTTGGAAATCCGAGTAAAGTCTGTTTTTTATTTAAATGGAAATTATCAACTCAAAAATTTTGGTGTGGCTTATCTCCACAGCCACAAATTTTGTTAAAAAATTATGGTTATGATTTCAAAATTCTGACTTTTATTAATCTTGTGTGCCCGTTTGCTCTTGAAAGCGCTATAATTGGGTCGTTACACATTTTTTTATTGCATATTCTGAATCTTTATTAAAAAATTGACCCATGTTTTCGTTTTTTTTTTGAAATCTTAATTTTAGGACAAAAAAATATATCAAAAACTCGTAAAATGAAATAAACTCAAAACGCGCGCGTTTTATTTGCTGTGAGGTAATAATCCCTTCTTTGCGTTCATTGGCTGTTTGAATGTCGGTAATGCAGATTGCAGATCTGTTTTAACGTTATATTTTGGTGTTTGTTTATTTTAATATTTGTGTTCTGTGTATACAATAATAATTATAATGCCAAAGGTGAGTACATTTAAGCGTTGTTGACGTCAGTGCTTTTGGGATAGTTACTTAGTAAAGCGGGAATTTATCTCGGGTTTAAATTCTACCCCAAACTTAATAATCGAAATTATAGTATTTCAAACTCTTCCAAGTTAATTTTATGTGAAGTAATCTCTAACGTATAAAAGTAAAAAATCACAAAAACTATTGAATACCTATGGATAGACATCATTACCTAAGGTCTAAAGACAGAATTCAGTGCTAATAATTTTAATACCGCAAATTGTGAATAAAAATGAGGTTCTTGTTACAAAAAATTTGAAGAAAAAGGATGTATATACAGAAAAAGTTATTTAGCGAAAGATACAAGTAGGTTTTATGATGATTGGCAATAAATTTTGTGTAATTTATTGAAATGAGCTCAAAGTTGATGCATTTTATAAATTCTTCAGCTTTAGTTTCTAAATTGTAACTTTTTCAACTCGTTCTTCAAAAACGATACACACGACACTAATTTAATTGCGTTCTTTCCGAGGTTCTTTCTCATTCATGTTTATTTTTATTCTTGTCAATTTCTTGCTAAAAATTGAGAATGTTTAACAAACCTGCATTACAAATTGCTTTTACATTTTAACGGGTCCTTTTTCTAATTTTCTGCTTGGAAACTATTCGTTTCCAAATTTCTAAAAACTGCTAGCGGTACCGAATTTGTTCTTTTTTTTTAAACTTCCTTTATTAAAATTACCACGAATGAATTTACTAGTGGTGCCAACGTTAAGACTGTTTGGCATTTCCATTAGAAAAAAACAGACTTTAGCAAGCTAACCCGCCGCTTTACGTCCGACTTTTGGTCTTTGCGACCGAACGGTGCGACCGATTTTTACCAAATGTTTCGTGCTGCGTCCCCTTCCCACAAGTAACTCACATACCAAACTTCAAATTTCTAACTCTTATCGTTCTCGAGATATGCTGTTTACAGACTCAATAATCCAAACCAACTTTTTTGGTGTCTTGAAGCTACAAATCTGGGTAGGTCAAATTTCGGCCGATTACAATACTTTACTTAGAGGATAAGGAAAGTAAAATTTTATCAACGATTTTGTGTAGAATTCATTGTTGTGACAAAGATATAGAAGAATGAAGTAAATAAAAGAGATGAACACTCACTTTTTCAAAGGCACTTGGCTATCCGTTGCATTTCCCCCATTTCTGGAGTCAGTAATTCGACAAGCTACCATATTATACGCTGCAAACATTGCAATGTCATAATTTTAGGTAATTTGCGTTTGAAACTCACCTTTCTCTTGTTTCCGCCGTTTCCGTTTATTGCAGATTTTTACAGCACACACAGAGAGAATTATAGCCACGACAAAAAACAGAAATCCACCCACAACGCCCGCTGTAATCGCTTTGTGTTTAACTCTGGCTGGCACGGAAAACTTCACTTCTTCACTAGTTTCGAAACTTTTCATTGAATAGGCTACAACTCTAAAATAGTACGTTCTACCTCCTACTAAATTCTTAACTGAAATGTGCAAAATACTTAGTTGGGTGGTTTATTAGATAAATGGGAAATTTACCTAAGTACTGAGTATCCTCAGGTCGAATTTGAGCTTTGTTCAAAGTTTTCCATCCACCGTCGGTTCGGTATTTAATTGAGTAGTGCTGAATTAGATTAGCTCTTTCTGTAGGTGGTTGCCACGTAATCAAAAAGCCGTTACTAATTTCTGTTACAGTCAAATTTTTAGGGATACCTGGCTTTGGTCCTGAATGCAAGAGTTCTAAATTATATATGACAACAGTTTCTACATTTACTACTGATTCCAAAAGAAGTCAACGCCATTTCACTATCAATGGCTGATTCTCTTGAATTCAGTTAATGGTGATCACTAGTCGCGTCAAAAATTAAAATTCTGTGCTAGCTGCAAAAAAGCGAACTAAACCAGATATAAATAAGCACATTTATCAAAGTTTCATTCTTAATTAAATGAGTTAATGCATTGATTTTTTCGTTCCAAAACTGTTTCTCCAATTGACACATGCAAAAAACAGCAAAACAGAAATATACAGTAAGTCCCCGGATAAGTGAAACGACTCTTTTAGAAGATAAAAAACTCACGACTTAATTCTTCATTTTTTGGCTTAGTGGAAAAATAGGGGCCTAAATATTGATTCTGAACAATTTTTATAATCTTTTATTTAATTTGCTTTGTTTGTTTGTCTGTCTGCACGAAATCTTACGAGTCAAATTTGAGACAGTTCTTGTCGTTGAACAAACTGAAATTTTGCATACATCTGCATTAAAAAATACAAAAATCAAACGAATGCCTAAAACAAAAAATGCAAAAAGTAAAAAAGTTCAAAAATCAAAAATAATCAAAAAAGTTTAAAGATCAAAAAAATTAAAAAATCAACCGAATCCAAAAATCAAAAAAATTATTAATCAAAAATACGAAAAAAAAATTAAAACCAAAAAAATATATTAAAAAATCCAAAAATAAAGAAAATTAAAACTTAAAAGATTTCACAAAACAATAGGTAAAGACTAAAAATTAAAAAAATATATAAAAAATGTTATTTATTTAAAAATAAGCTTTTATTAGAAAAATGTACTAAAAAGTAAGTAATAATTTTTTTCTGTCAGAAAAGGACCTTTACTTACCCCTTAAGATTGTAAAATTTATAAAAGCTTTGGGGGCGGTCAACTGAGCAAAGTAATTGTGTAACCACTCCCAAAGCTTTTATATATTTTTTTTCTAATAAAAGACTATTTTAAAAAAACATTTTTTAATACATTTTTTTCTTAATGCCTTTTTTCGTGTCGTGCCACATAAAAGGCATAGGTACTTGATTTTTCAAAACTGAAATTATGTTAGGAATTAGTCCTAACCAAGTAAGGCCGAACCTCTAAAAATTGAAAATTAAATCAGGAATTTTTTATCTTTTACAAAAGTCGTGTCACCTATCCGGAGACACACTATAAATATTAAATTGCCTTTAATTTCATATAAACGTGATTACTGACCACAGCCCATAAGGTTAGTAAAACTAAACGAAAATTACAAAACATAGAAAAAATACCTTTAGGCTTGTAGATCGGTGGATAATAGACTCTTCCAGTTGAATCAGTAGGCAAAATAATATTACTATAGTCTAAAATATCTGAAAAAAAAAAACACGTCATGCAAAAAATCGAGTTGCAAGTAGCAAAAAATATGAAATTCAAGAAGGGCAAATAAAAACAAACATGCAAAAGTGTAGGTAGCAGATATTGAAAAAAATTGTAAACACATGTTTTGAAATCATGCCCTTACCCGAATTTTCGTTTTCAGGAAGAAAGGGTGTTGGTGTTGCTTGTACTTTGTGGGGTAGGCTGACGTCTATCCACGACAGCAAAGTAACAAGAATTTACGTATAATAATTGTGTTTTCATGTAAAGAAAGGCATTTCTTTAATTTAAGTATTTTTATTTATTTAAATAATTAAATGCTATTCATCTAAAGAAAATTTAATCTTAAGCCAAGTAAACTGAAATGTTTGATGAAAATAATCCATTTATTTCATGATAGTTGATCAGTGTTATTATTTCAATGCAAAATAATTTTGAAGTAAAGAAATAGTTTTTTTGAATCAATTTTATAATGAATAAACAGGCAGGTCGAACATTTTCCACGTTTTTAACCAGAAACTTGAGTATTTCGTCAAATTTTTTCAAAAAATTTGAAAAATCACCAAATTGATTAAAAATATTTATGTTTCTTATTTTTTTACAAAATCTTGTCCAAACACGCTTAAAAATCACAAAAACAATTGAAATTGATGTTATTTTGTTTGTTTCATTCCATTTAACTGGTTTTGAGCAAAATAAGACAAAAATAAGCTGAGAATGTTTTCGAGCACGTTTTTGTACTACAATCTCAGGTTTTTTTGCGAGATTTTACTAAAGCGAACTGAAAAATCAACAAATTAAGTCGAAAATTGCGTAAATTTTGCATTTCTTGAGGGTTTTAGCACGTTTTTCAGCAATTATTTCGCAAAATTTTGTTAAAAACAAACCAAAAAAACACAGATTTAGGTCTAAAATGATGTAATTTTTTCCTTTTTCAAATGTTCAAGCAGATTTTTAAGTTAAAACTGTTTTTTCGCGAGAGTTTGTCTAAGCGTGTCAAACATCACTAAATTGTTATAAAAAAAAGATTATATTTTGATTTTTTTACCTAACTTAAGATTTAACTTGATTATTTCGTCAAATTTTCTCGAAGAAAAAATAATCGAAAACCACCAAATTGGTTAAAAATAATTCTATTTGTTTTTACCAGATATTAATAAACAGAGTCGAAAATGACAACTTATTTTTGTTTTTTCGAATGCTTTCTCAGCTAGAAACATAATCATTGTCAAATACAAGCCACAAATTCAACAAAATAGGGCAAAAAACCCCGTTTTTTGGGAGATAATAACACAAAAAATTGGAAATATTGCATTAGAACAGGCTAAAAAATTATAAAATTAAATCGAAATTGTTATCATTTTTTAGTTTGTTTCACCCGACTTTCGTTCGTTCATTTATTTCTCAAAATCTCTTGATTGATGTTGTTTTGTTTGTTTCATTTGATTTAACGGGTTTTTGAGCAAAATTAAGACAAAAATAAGCTGAGATACCACAAAATTTGGCCGAAATTTTGTTTTTGTTTTTTTACTAAAATCTCAGTTTTCGCTAGATTTCGCTAAAATCAACTATATAATCAGGAAATTAAGTTTAAAATTGCATTTTGTATTTTTCGAGCGATTTAAGGATTAATTCGCAAAATTTCGTTGAAAACAAGCCGAAAAATCCCAGTATTAGGCCGAAAAACGTGTCATTTTTACTGTTTTTTCAAGAGTTTAAGCAGATTTTTAAGCTGAAAATTGCGTTTTTTGTGAAATATAGCCATACAAATCGTAAACTGGTGAAAATTTTGCAAATTTTTTAGCTCGGATCTGGTGAATTTTATGCTTTTATCTGGTGAATTTGTCACTAGGGTTTAGTTGTGTCACAGATTCTTCTTCTAGGCAGAAATCAAATATTTATGACCTATTTCATTTTAAAAAACACAGTTGCAACTTTGCCAATGTGGCAATAGCAATGGCACAAGTTTTTTACCTACCTATTATTGAAAAAAAATCAATGTTTGTAGTTTTTTAGATTTTATATTCATATTATATTTCAACTTTTTTTACAACACCGTTTTTTTTATAACATTATCCTCTCTCAATAAACAAACAAATTATCACTTTCAGTGAAAGAAATATCTTTTTAAAAAGAACACCCGAAATCTTGAAACAATCAAATATTTTGTACATTCAAATAAATATGAATATTGAACCAAATAACACTTTTGTCTATTAGAAAAAAAACTAAAGTTTTATTTAACGTTAAAGAAATTTTGTTTTATTTTAACCAATTATTGTATTAATAGATACAAATAAATAAAACCAGAGAAGCGAACAAATATTTCCTTGCCCGTACAGAATCAACAAATTTCTTAGCTCTAAATAAATTTTGTTTGAAACAATTTTTTTTCTGTCTAGATCAAAATCTTACCTAAAGTTTTGACGGTGATGACTTTGCTCATCAGACCATCGCCCAAAGCGTTTTTCCCTACCACTTGAAATTCGTAGGTAGTTCCCGGGGAAAGGCGATTAATCTTAATCTGAGTGCTACCTGAAGGCGTAACTGGTATGGTGGACCATTCCGCAGTTCCAGCTTCCCTATACCAAATGGTATAGTTCTGTTTATAATCCGGCCCTCCGCTATACCCAGGTAACCACGACAGGGTTACTGCAAATTCCATCGCATTTCCAGATAGATTATAAGGGGCATGAGGCTCCGTTCCCTCCACCACTAACCGAGTCGAGGTAACAATCGTCGCCACTTCATTAGAAGCCACACATTGGTAGAAACCAAAGTCTTTGGCGCGTAAACCCTCGATGGTTATGTTTCCACCGACGATTTTGTATCGTTTTGGGGGCAAAGGGCTACCGTCTCGCCTTTGCCACTCTATCGTTGGTTTCTGCGTCCCTTCGGCTTCTTGTGCCTCGCAATGCATCTCAACAGTATCGCCGACTTTACGTTGATACAGCGGTTCAGGTTCTATGGTGAATACTGGCGGTTTTCGAACTAAAACTTCCATTTGACCGGAAGATCCTTGAGTTCCCTGAGCATTGTAAGGTGTGCAAGTGTAACGCCCTTGATGATTCTCATTGACTCGGGTAAAAAGGAGAGAACCGTTGTTCATAATTACGATATCTTTAGTCTGATACGGCTCTAACAAGCGTTTGTCTTTGGTCCACGTTACGTATTGTAGAGGGGGGTTGGCTTTGATGTAACACTGGACGACTCCAGCCAAGCGGAACGGCAAGTACTGAACGGTTGGCGTAAACGTCACCTTTGCTGGATCTAAAACGGATTAATGAAACTTTAAATTGAATACGGATGCCTAAACACCAGTGGCGGCAACATAGGCAGTGCCTATGCGATACAAAATTCAAAAAACACAACAAAATATACGAAATACGAAAACTTAAAAAAGAAACTGAACTTCATGTATCTCATAAAAAGCTTAAAACTTTTCCATTATATTTTTCGAATTTCTTTTCAAACTATACAAAATCCCTGTATACGATTTTGTTGGTCCAAAAGTCTGGAAACGATTTTATGGCTATAAAAATGCTATTCAAAAAAAATTTTGAATATTAATTATTTGTTTATACTTACGAGATAAACATAGTAACTTTTTTTGTAATGGAAACCTAGCACAACTTTTTTTCTTTTTTTTAGACAACGAGCTTGTTACAAGAATTGTTGCCATGCAAATTTTTTTTTTGTAAACATCACACTTTTTTGTTAAAAAAATGTTTGACTTACAAGAATTAAAGAATATTTTTGAGTAAACTACCAGTTTTTTTTTGGAAATAAATTAATAAATGTTTAAGGGTTGTAAAGGAGC